GCGGCATATCTTCGCATTATAGGTAACCGTACAGGGTTTGAGTCCCGTCTGCTGCCTGGTCCGCGTGGAATTTTTTCTAGTTATATTTTCTTTAAATTTAAACATCAAGCAGTTACATGCTTTAAAATAATAATAATTATAACTATTATAATTTTTTATGTCCAAAAATTCTAGTTTCTAGTAGTACATTTGATACAATTGATTTACTATTTCCGACCTTATTGCTGTGCAATAGGGTCACATTTATTGTACCTAGTTATATGTTTTTCCGTGTATCTCAATTAATGATCTTGTTAATTAAAATGTCGAAATTGTGCTGTTGATTATGAACTCTAAACTCGGTTGTTATGGTTGAAAATGTATTTTGCACAAAATTCCTTGCGAAACTGAAAATTTAAATAGTAAATGTATGTAAGTATAGTTTTGTCTGTATGTATAGTTTGCCCAGTGACACAATGTTCCATAGGTAAATTTGTGAAATTAATATTTTATTTACCACCTGCTTGCAGCAAATTCGCTAAATCTCGATTCAACTAAACCTAGCTTTAATTAAACATTTCGAAGCGTCAAAGTATATTTGACATTACTGCATGGGCTAAATCTAGTTTTAGTTAAAATTGAGTTTTAGCAAAATTTCTGCAAGTGGACCTTGGCCACACTAGAGGCTCTAATTTGGTATAATTTTCTAAACCGAAAACTATATTTGACAATAGTTTCTCCTAATCAGTGTTACCAACTCGTAGTTAATATCTACCACGGAAGCTAAAGTAAAAAGCGTCTGTTACCCCTTACATGAGTATTACATGGCAAAACGAATTCGGTATTCTTTAAAAAATGCCAGTGAAAGCAGTTCTTGTACCGTGAAAAGTTATTTCAATGAAAAAACACCAAAAAAAATTACCCTGTTAAAAATTTCAGCTCACCTAATTGTCTCCCTAATTTTGGGGAGATTTCTCCTAAAATTCAGGCTAGTCAAAATAATCATCCTCCAGTAAAAGGTAAGGATAATCCGGTTCCGGTTCTTGGCAACAATTGTCTTTATAATCTTAATACTAAAAATGTCTAGACAACAAAACTGACAGACCTATCTTTTGCTTTAGTTTGATTATTAGAACTGGATGTAAGCTGGTAACACCTTATCAATTATCATGCTTTAGACAGAATGAAAAGGAGCTGTCGCTGAAAAATAAGTTTCAAGTTTAAAGAATTGTATCACAATTAGGCCTCAATCCCACGGGCGCGTTATGATCGGTCGGATAATATCGCATGCGTTATTGCGATAACGCGCCCTACTTCTATTGCGTTGTTAAAAACGCAGCAGTGTGTAAATTCGTAGCCATTCTATTATCATCAATGGATCAGACACACTACGACACTGACACTCGACACAAATGTCGACACCAGTGTCGATTGCGTCCACGCGGTAAGGGATTTTTTATGACTACCTTCTTCTTATCTTTCTTCTCTCTTTCTTCTCTTTAAATCTTTTAAATGTTTATTATTAATAAAGCTAGTCTTCTCACTCCATAAAGGTGATGGCTGAAAAACGGTATTTTGCCTTAAAACTGGCAAATGATTAGCCGAGCCTTGGCCTTTTGCTTTCTGCAGCATACATATGGATATTTCATAGCTGATTTCTTGTATCTTCTTTTTTTATTGTATTACTCTGCCTGTAAATGTATATGTATGTTGAAGAAAAAATAAACGCATTATCTATCTATCTACGTTAGTGTAAACATCTTCCGCACAGAACATAAAAAGAGGTTTAAAAGGGCCTTGTGGGCGGGGCAGGCGCGCCACAAACGCCTATGATTTGACCAAAACTTGGTTCTGATTGCGTCATTGCACTTGGGTGTGAGCGCCGATTGGTTCGATTGTTTGGCGTCGCGTCGTTTGATTGGCTATTATCTATTAGGTGGAAGTTTAGTGGGGGCGAGTCGGCGACATAGGTTCCCGTATTAACGGTCTATCAGCACCCTACTAACCTCAATCTGTGTTCTGTGTTTTTTTTATGCTTAATAGGCTTGCCTATGGCGTTTGACCACAATCTCGCCTGATGGAAAGCAATGATGAGGCCTAAGATGGCATACGCCTGCCTAGAAGATGCCTGTTCATTCTGGCCTTGACGATGTCCAGATTGTATTGGTTCGGGAAAACAGACCTCGGCAAGGAAATCCACTCCCTAGCCGTTCGCATAATGAAAGCGGAAGTAAATCGCTTCGTGCGAATGGGAGGAACTTCGACAACATAAGGGTGGAAGCCCTCGCCGCGCCTGGTCGTCCGGTGGTGGAAAGTAGAAGGGGGGATCTAATACTGTAATACCTCCGCACACTCCGAAATGTAGCCAATAAAACACCGAGAGGCAAGCTACACGTCTTCGATGGTCAAGGCTCTGGAGATTAGCCTCAACGAGAGCGTCACTACCTCATGAGTCTCTTCGCACGATCTACCCCCTTATTAATAAACGAGGAATAGGCTTAGAATAGTTACGCCATGTTTTGTTCATATCACTCAAATGCCATTTGTCAATCAAAGAACATAGACAAAACATAGAGTAACCAATCCAAGCTTTTTTTTTCATTTATTAACATGTCTGTCTCACGTCCTGTCTCCATGGCTGCGACATGGACACTGAGCTTATTGTCGCGGCATTGGATACACAGAGGCAGTTGCTGTATACACTTTAGTGTCTAGTGTCTGGTGACGTCGTGTATCTGATCCATTATACATTCTCTACCAAAAGAAAAGGGCTCTTTCAATTTATGCGTTTCTTGTGCCGAAGCGGTGCATTTGTCGTACAGCGTACGGACGATCCTTTTTTTTTCACACAAAACGCTTCGGCTTCGCAGTAGGCCGTCAAGAAACGCATAAATTGAAAGAGCCCAAATTGTGTGCACAACTACACATCTGAATTTCTTAAATAACCTTACATTAGGCGATGTATAAGGCATAAGGGAATGCAGCAGCGCACGCATCACTCATATATATGTATATTTTATCGCGTGTGACGCTCATGACGCTTGTAGCGTTTCAGCCTTCGTCGAGTTACCCTCCCAACTTTAATGCTCGTCGGGAAGAGCTGCGCACGCATCCCACATATATATATATATAGTCGGGTGACGTTCGTGAAGCATTTCCGTTTCATCTATTCCATAGGATTCATTCCATTTACCCCCCATCCGGAAAGAAGCTTCACTTCATGAAGATAACGCAATAACGCATTCGATTGCGTTAATAATATCGATACTATCGACCGATAATAATCCGCCTCTGCGGATAAGGCTTTAGGCTCAATGAATGTTAAATTAAGAGACTTGTAACATTTTAGCAAAAAAAAGCATTCAGTGAAGTAATATGTTGTTACCTTTAATTTGTAAAATAAGTTATAATTGAGATGGCGGATACACAATCCATAAAGTAGTATTACAAAAGCCAAAAGTTACCGTCTGTCTGTATGTCTGTTACGCTCTAATTTGGTATGGTTTGGAAGAGAAAGGAAATTAGCCATTAAGAAACTTGTATAGAGTAAAATGGGACGAATTTTACGCGTGTTAAATATAATGGTGACGATGTCGTCGCTACATTTTGTTATTGGTCCCAACGGATTAGAAATGATATGGAATAGGTACTGGGCTAAAATGTGGTTCCACGAAAACTGCGATCAAGTGGGCGGGGCCAAAAAAATGCGATCAATACGCCGTAAATGGGATTGATTGGGATTTCCGTTTAATATTATCTTAATCAATGAATGGATATCCGAATTATTTTGCAGACATTTGATTTGTCAAAGTATATTGTATTGAGGTTTCGTTGTATTAGTTTGGAATCATGTTTTAGCGGCCTTTGTTAGAATGTAATGCCATCCATATAATTTCTGATTCGTTGATTGATCCTGTCACTCCTATATTATCTGTTCCTCTAGCACGAATCAATATCGAAATTCTAATAGTTTGCGACTGCGAAATGTCATTGTCAAATTTTGTATGGAAACTTGAACAGCAGCTCCACAAAGGACTTAACTAGAGCTAAAAATCCATACACATTTGACAGTGACATTTCGGACTCGAAAACTATACGAATTCGGTAATTTTTCGTGCTAAGGGTACTGAATTCTGAAAGATAGTGGTACAGACAGACTTAAAACACCATGTTACCAAAAAATAAATTTAATCTCAAACAATTATCTCGAAGTAGTTGGTTCAAATATTTTATTGATTGTATAGATCTTAGCTTAAGACATGTCATTTCACTGTTTATCACAGATATAGTTCGAAATAGATGTTGAATGTACTTAAATTCGAGTGCCAAAAGGCAGAAAAAATGGTTTATTTTTTTCTTCACAACAAAAAAGTGAACTGAAGCACAGGCCTTCCACAGATGGAATAGGGAGATTGGGCCATGACCCACCACGCGGGCCCAGTGCGGATTGGTGGGTGTTAACGACTGCAGATGCAGCCGGGACCAACGGCTTCACGTGAATTCCGAAGCATGGAGGAGTGAGAGATTGAAAATTTTTGATCATCCATCCAATGGCCGACCACTGTGAAAGTTGCTCAACTTCAACGATCGCAGCCGAACGCGCTAACCACCTGCGCCATCGAGCTCCTGAATTTGAAATACATGCGGCATCTATTTCAATCTAGGTCTGGTAGTGTTTCTATTTTGTTGTAAATTGTGTATCCCATAGAATAGTAATCATTAGAGATTGTATAGAATATTGTACCAAAGCATTTATTATGTAACTAACTACCAATAAATTATTTTAAAGTTTACAATTTGTTATGATTGGTCGCCCGTCATGGATTTTCAGTCATAAAATAAAAGATATAGAAAGAGTGCTAAACTAAAAACTTTTTTCTAGATTGATAGTAATTTACAACGAAAACCCTTCCCTGCGGAGGCCCAGAACCTTAATAACCAAGAATACATCTCCAAATGGTAGTGTTATTTTAATGTCTCTTTAAGATTGAGGACTAATAGACTGCAATTTACTTCCCCAGACGAAGGGAAGGTGGAACATGAGAGAATAATTCCTCAGAACACTCGCCGTGGTACAGACGATAGAACGCGCTTAGTGACTCCACGTCACGGCGTAATTGAAGAGGCTCAAAGTGTTTAGTCACCTCCTCATTGCCTATAATGCGGATCGCGCGCCGCTGTAACCTATCCAAAGCATCGAGCAAATACTTGGCGGAGCCATCCCAGAGGAGCGAGCAATATTCCACGCAGGACCGCACTTGCGTTTTGTACAACAAGCATAGTTGATCGGGTTCGGGCGTGTAAAAACGCCGCACGTTGTCCAGGACTCCGAGTTTGCGTGAAGCTGTTTTGATCACTGACTTGATGTAGTCCTTTGGATTCAGGTTTAAGCGAACTTCCATACCGAGCATGTTAATGTTGCTCTGTAGCGGTAGTGTTGTGCCCTGAAGAGAGGGAAGGGGAAGGAATGGCGATGTTGTTGCCGTGAAAGCGCAAGCCTGAGTTTTCTTGGCATTGAACTCAACCAAGTTCTTGGTACCCCATTCGGAAATGTGGCCCAAAGCCTGATTGAGCTCAATGACAAGATTCTCCCGTTTCTCCTTGGATACCGCCTGCCCAGCCGCTGCTTGTCCGAGATACCCCGCATGCACTGTACTATCGTCTGTACTTCGCACGTCATAAACAATAGAATATTATGCCGGCAAAACCATTGATTTTTTTATTTGCGTTTCGAAAACTACATTTTTTTTCTCTATAAACTGGTAACTGTATTTTAATTCGAAATAGTTTTTGAATTTTAGCAACACATGTCGTCAATTTCTAGGCAAAAATGATTGTGAGTATTCTAAACAGTATTAAGTTAAGTTAATACCCTATTGCCCGTTCGGATTAATACAAGTTTGAAGTTTTTATTTAAAATAATACCCTCTGGCCTGTTCAATTTTTTATAATGTTATTTTTAGCGAAATTATTTTAAAATGATACTAGTTGTAATTTTAACATGAGCCATTTGAACTGCTTATAGGGTAATCTCTTTACCCAGTCACATAAAAGTACTTTTAAAATAAAAACTACTATTGATACACTAACTAAACTTACTCAACACAAAGAAGGATAATGTACGTTTAAATCAAGGTATCATTTTAAACATTTGAACAAGTAGCTTCTATGATTTTTTAAAACTTTAAAACGCGATATCTCAAAACACTGTTTTTGAAGATTCCCTATACCCTTTTGTTTGTGACGTGCGACTTGTTTAATTAGTTGTACCTGTAAATGAATGAAATGGTAGGACAGGCAGAGGGGCGCATATTCATAGTTAGCCTAGGGCGGTCAGATCACTAAATCAGGCCCTGCTTCTATAATTGTATTTTGTTTTAATCTAAGCTTACAAGGCAACTAATGTGCCTTGTATGCTTAGATTAAAACAAAAAGGGAAGATACGGTACGTTCATACAAGCATCAAATAAAATATGACCCGGCTCAACTACATAAGCAACTGTCACACACGCATGTCTGTAAACATTCAATCGAGCGAGCGAGACTAAACTGTACGCTTCAGCGCAGCGCTAGCGATACGGCGAGTCCGCTTCCGAGTCCGTACGGTTGAGCTGTATTGTTGTCCTTTTCTGACAACAGAATGGCGATTACGTACGTAAATAACATTCACGACAAACCATGATTAAGAAAATAATATTTTACAGTATTACGAATGAAAAGTGTTGCCTAGGCATTTGCTATTAGATTTTGAACTATTTGTGTTCTATATAAAAGCAGCGCAGGCATTTTTTTATCTTTATAACATAGAGTTCTTATATTGAGTGCATATGCAGCGTGTTTGAATGTCCAATTGTGACTAAAGCGAATTGTGGTCATTTTGTCAAGCGAACTTTTGAGCCGCGAAGGCCGTATCTTCACTTTTTGTTTTAATCTTAGCTTGTAAGTGAATGAAAAAGTATTCCATTAAATAAATTCTTGTTTCTTTTCAAAAAAAAACAATTCCCCTTATTGTGAAATATGTGAGAAAGTGGAGGATGTGCAACACATTTTAATGGAATGCGTTTAAAATGAAGCGGAAAGGAGACATGAATTCTCCATTCTTAAAACTAATAGGTTTGAGACTGGCATATTGCAGGGCATCCTAGCCAACCCGCTATCGGAGGAGGCTGGTGTGCTTTGCAATATGGCAGCAAAAATTTTATGTTATTACATATATAAAAAATATTTAATAACTTAACTATTGTTAAGTTATTAAATATTTTTTTGGTCAGGTTACGATCCGGCTGGTATGGACATTTTGGTCCAAAAGTCCCTAAAACAAAAAAAAGGCAAGGGGGGGGGGGCATATTCATAGTTAGCCTAGAGCAGTCAGAACTAAAAATCAGACCATGGTCACACACATCTGCATTAACTCTTATTTAGGAAAACCTTTCCGTTAATTTCCTTGGTTCGGAGGCTTCAATATGGTAGACAAGACACAACAGTTTGATTTAACTGCGAAACGGCTGATTAAATAATAATTCAGTAGGTAGATAAGTAGGAATTAAACGAAGAAACCAACGATAATTCTGAAGGTTCTTAGAGGTGACTAAAATTATGTCTGAATACACTTAAATTGTAAACATACGAGTAATAATCTTTTACATTTATTTTGTGAAACAAAAATTTTCATGTTAGCTCAATTGTTCCTAACGATACTACGTATCTTGTAATAAACTAAACGTTATACATAACTTAAATAGCTACTTAATTATGTGGAGATTTCATGATTTTGACAACCTCCGTATCCGAGTGGTTTGTACGCCGGGTTTCATGGTGTCGCCGACTCGAGAGGGTTCGAATCCCGGTGGGGGCAGATGTTTGTGTGATGAATACGAACATTTGTACTCCAGTCATGGATGTTTCTTGATTATCTTTGGAACCTTGCCTCAAGGGACTCCTTTTAATAATGTATTTTAGTTATTCTATATTTTAAGGTTTTTAGTTATAAATATCTTACTAGGGATATAATTAAATGTCACTTCATCTTCAATAAATCTCTGTAATAGTGTAAAAGATATGAATGCCCAGTTACGTGGCAAATAAGTAGCTACATTAAAATTATATTATTATTTGTAAGATATAAAATTTCTTAATGATAATAAGGATAAATAATTATATCAATTAATTTACTCAATCCTTTAAAGATTCTTTCGAAGGACCCCGGTGTTTTTGAGTTAATAATTATATTACATTTAAGGTTTTCGTAACCTTAATATAAGTTAGACCGTGATTTTATGTCATCAATATCAGCCTATTAATGTCCCCACTGCTGGGGCACAGGCTTTCCCTATGGATGGAATAGGGAGATTGGGTTATGACTCACCACGCGGGCCCAGTGCGGATTGGTGGGTGCTAACGACTGCAGATGCAGCCGAAACCAACAGCTTAACGTACCTTCCGAAGCACGGAGGAACTCTCGAAGTTTTGTAAAATTTAAATTCTACACCCTAAATTTACCGATTTGATAAATTTTATGACTAAATATGAACGTTTCTAATGATAATGAAGAACAATAATTATTTCTTTCAAATGTAGAACTAATTTCGAATTTAGAATATCAAACTTCACGCACGCACTAACGTCAAAACGGCCATAATAGCGTGCCAATATTATTTACGACACTGTCGAAAATTCATAATTTTGCCTACTTTGCTATTAAAGCAAAGCTTTATTAAAGCTAGCAGCTTACTAAGGCCCGTAATATAGAAATATTCTCAGTGATTGATCTAGTCTTGTGCATAGTTAGAAAGGGATGTCGCTATATATATAGCACATAGCGACATCCCTTTCTAACTATGCTCAAAACTAGATTAATCACTGAGAATCTTTCCATAATACGGGCCTTAATGACCGACCAATCAGGGACAGCCTTTAGATATTTGACAATTTAACGCGCGACAGATTGTAATTTAACAGTTTCACTTTGATAGAATAATGCGTTTGATAGCAATCAGTATGCTATGGTTCACAATCTATAGACAGTTTATAATCTCGCGAAAAAGATTATAATGTAACGGGATGGTGATATATATACACGATTATATAGACCAATCCAAATAAACCACGCAAAAACGGCTCATGTTACGCTCTATGTGTGTGTGACTTTAACGTCAATGTGTGTGTGTGTGTGTGTAGCGACAAGCGTATCTACCATATTTAGTAGATATTTTTCGGCGCCTCCGTGCAGTTAATACGGTAATTAGACGTGTTTAATATCATACTTTGCCCCCTGTTCCCAGTAGTTTTACCAGTAGGACTACTGGGAATTTCCTTCACAATAGACTCACTGATAGTAAGACTTCGCTGGTGCTATTTTTTTAGTTTTACTTTAATATCAGTCCCTGTAGCATGAGCACTACATTATATATTTTATCACGTTTTTTAATCTTTTTTTTTATAGCGAGGTAGGCAAATGACTCTACCCCACCTGATGTTAAGTGGTGATAAAATCCAAACGCGAAGATAGCTGGTACAACAGTTATAAACTGCCTCACCAACCATCCTCACCTTACCGGCCTGCAAAAATACTTCTTCACGCTTCTCTTAAAGGACCCCAGATTATAGGAAGGAGACAATACGTGCGCGGGTAAAGAATTCCACTTACGAATAGTATGATAAAGAAATGAGTCACCAAAGGACATTGTTCTGCGTCCATACATAGTTAGCCTAAGAACCAACAATCATGAAATATTATTTTCTAGGTTCGAAATCGCAAGTAAATAACTGTAAAAACAAAGATTATTGACGGACACTTCTGAGAGCTTAAATTATTAGGAAAACTAAATTTTTTTTGAGGTTATGTTTAATATTCAATGAAACATAGGTCAACCTATGAACTTAGTATGAAGTGAATTAATATTACAACTTATTCATTTTATTCGGTGCTATTTTAAATAATAAATATTAGGAAAAACTTGGTTAGGTAGGAATCATGAATAAAATAAAAACTGTAGTCTTGCTTCTTATTATTTAGTGACTACTTTTCACATACTTGTATCATATTGTATATACACACATCAAAAGTGTCTAGGGATCAACATATATTTTTGCAATAACTTTTCTCCTGATTGATATTAATTAAAATTTTCTTTAAGGATTCATCAAATAAAGTGTTTTCGTTTGTCACAGTAACGATAAACCAAGTCACCTTTGCATTAATAAAGAAATTTGCCATTTTCCTAATAAAGGGATTTTTGACATTTGAACCACTAA